TTCTTTTTAAACTATAATGCATATATATTCATATATGTATGTGTGTGCGCGCGCATGTGTTTGTATATTTGTATATACGTATTTGTATTATCATTTGTGTGTATTTATGTATATACATCACTTTCTGTTGTTTAAATTGTTTATAAGCATTGTCATACATGTATATTTATTACATTGTCACGTGATCTTCAATTGAGAATGTTTTCGTTTACGGATTTACTGTTCAGTTAGAGATACCTGAAGAAGGGTATTGTCCGAAACGTTGTATCCACAACTATATATATTAAAATCTTAGTGGTTTGACCTATAACATGTTTCTCTCAAATAGTTTCTTTACTTTCGGTGAGAAGAAAAAAAAAAGAGGAAGAATCAGAACTAAATATTTTATATCTCGTATATTTCTTAACGGATTGCCTTGAAATTTGGTATGCGAAGTAAGAGTCCAGTAAAGCACATCCACGTAAAATATTTGTTACTTTGGATTACCACAGTCTAAGCTACAGAAAATAAGTGGAAAATTGTTAAACTATCATTTCTGTTAACAACACACTGTGCATTCTGTTCGTTGTTTTGGCTGCACGACACACTACCGTATGTATTGACACGTTTAATTAAGTAGGAAACAGGATATCCAAAAGCTCTTGTACACTTTTACGCCTATACTGCTAAATCCCGACCACTTCGGAAGGTAACTAACATTCAAATACCTAACAAGTTTATTGGCTTAGATCAGGTTTTGTAGACTGTCATATCGTAAGTATTTTCTCTCATTTTTATATCGAACTTTACACAATGCTTGTTACAATTACTGTACTACAAACAAGCCCAACTGTGTTTTCGAAGCCGGTAAAGGTCTAATGCCAAGAGAGGCGATTCATTGCTTTATTTTCGAAAGGTTTTTACTTCAGCTACTAACAGTAAATATAAACATAGGAAATAGGTGTGAAAAGATTTGAAGTAGAAATTCTCAGGAGATTTACTTTGGAATTTCGTGGTCTATACTGAAACGTCACGTGATTGCTCGATTTTTTCTCTCCATCACATTAACAATCCGAAAAGGTCCTGGTTTAACTATGCTCGAATATAAGCTACCAGGTGACGTTTTGTGTATATAACCAACACATTTGTAAAACAATATTTATATGTTTCATCCTTGCACGTTAACTAGTTCTTGTCTAAATAGATATTTCAAGGGTATAGCATTTTTGCTAATTTCTATTTCTGGTCTAAATAACAATTCCAATGTGTCCTCTCCCAATCCCATATTCTTTGGCCAAAAGGAGTTTAAAATGAGGTTTCTCCCTATATCGTACTAACAGTAACACAACTTCGAGATGTTTCCACCAAACTTTTTTTTTACTAATTGATAACTTCTATAACTGTCTCCCTTTCCTTCCCCGTACTCTTTTTCTAAATTACAGTTGTCCCAAACACATCTATTCCCATATGCATTTTTTCTTCTAAATAACAAATCTAAGATATGTTCTTTCCCTAATCTGTATTATTTTTTTTAAACGACAACCCTGATAGGTGACCCTTCCTTATCCCATATTATTTTTCTAAATTTTAATTCCGAGACGTTTCTCGTTCTTATCCAGTATTATTTTTCAAAATTTTAATTCCGAGACGTTTCTCGTTCTTATCCCGTATTATTTTTCTAAATTTTAATTCCGAGACATTTCTCGTTCTTATCCCGTATTATTTTTCTAAGTAACTTCAATATATGTTCCTTCCATAACCATTATTTTTAATAAGTGAAAAAAAATCAAGGTTTCCTTTCCAATTCCACATTATTTTCTGAATCACAACTTTAAGACGTGTTCCTTTCCTCTCCCATATTATATTTCTAAATTACAATTTCAAGATGTGCGCTTTCTCTATCTCATAGTATGTTTCTACAAAAATGTTTATTTTTATAAATGAAAACTCCATAACGTGTTACTGCATTTATATTAAAGATAAACCCAAGATGTGTCCCTTTCCTATTCTGCATGTTTTTTTTTTCAAAATGACAATTTGAAGAAGTGCTATTTTACTTATTCATAACGCTTAGATGTGCTCTTCCCCTTTCTACATTTAACTGAATTCCAATGTTCTCCTTCACGATGCTGATAAAATAGTTAGCAAAAAGGATCACATATAAAGTGTAATAAACTTAAAATAAGACCCAAAACTCGAGCGCCTTCGAATAGTTGACTATTCTTTCTTTGTTCTCCTGAAGAATAATAGTCAACTATTCGAAAGCGCTCGAGTTTTGGGTCTGATTTTAAGTTTATCTAAATGACGAATACGGTATGTGTCCCTTCCTTCATTCTGTATTAGTTTATACATTAACAACTTTCCTATTCCATATTATATGCCTAAATTGTGATTTCAAGATGTTTCCCTTCTTTATCCGAATTTTTAAATGATAAATCAAATTCTCTATCCCATGTTCTTTCTCTATATAACAACTACAAAACGTGTTCCTTCTCAACTCTGTATTTAAATTATAAGTCTAAGGCGTGTCCCGTCCCAATCCTTTTACCAAATAATTTTCTGAGACGCGTTTCCTTCTCATTCTATATAATTTTTTCTAACTGACAGCTCGTACAAGTCCCTTCCCTATCTTTAATTTCTTATCTAAATGATAACTTCAATGTGTCCCCTCCCTATCTCACATTTATCTAAATAACTCCAATATATCCTTTAACTATCCTGCATTTCTAAATGTTAAATCCAATATGTGTCCCTTCGCTATTCTGTATTATTTTACTAATTAACAACTCCAATTTCCATACTACACATTCTTTTGTAACGTACGTGAAAACACGAAACAGTCTCATATCCGTTATTGACAACTATAGCAGTTTGCTTATACCATGTTTACACTGAAGTGTTGAAACCCACACATTTCAGTGAATTGTATTTAGGAAATATTTCAAATATGATTTAAAGTGGTGTGGCTATTACTTTTTTTGGGATTCTACCATTGATGAATTTTTAATCGTGAAACCAATTTATTGTGCAGCGGTTGTTTTATGTAGGTAATGAAACAACAACAAAAGTTGTAAAATTTATAGCGGATGGTGCATAAATAACACTGTATATAACACTCTGAAACCGATATTTTATGAAGGTGGTTAATTAGGTTAATAGCAAACACTTGAAGTTTTTATTTGACAATAACCTTTATTGGAACTGATTTCAATAATTAAAACCAAAACCTAAATTCTCATTCTAAACATATCACGTTTATATATATATATATATCTATTCTAATAAGCTTTTTACGCCCTCTATAAACAAGAGCATGAAATATCTGGTGATGAAAAAGCATGGAATTCTTTTCACTAATATATAAATCAAGAAGGGCAAAGAGCTACATGATTGAGCTTAATTATTTAAATTTATCTTTTTATTATCTACAATATATATATATAACATCCACTAAAACAAAGTTTCAAATCATTTGGATTAAGAAATAATATATACACCAATTTCCACATTTTAAACACAGAAACTCAAAATATAAACAATTATTATTTTTCAATTATGTATTTGTTAGTGATGTCATAATTCCATGCTGCTTCGTCTTCCAGTTAGTTTGAATATTATACATAAATTTACACAATCAAATTCTGAACTCAATATAATGATCTTTTTTCTATAAGTATGTACAACTTCTACTTGGGCGAACAAAATACGAAACAAACCAAAAATATCACGATCGAAAGTTCATAGAAAAGAATTCATTAAAGCTTCAACTTGTACATCACATACTGTTCAAAAGGTGTCACTGTCACACCAACACAATACAACAAATAACACGCCAACTTATTAAAAGAAAATATGTATTTTTAGCGCGTTAAGAATTAAGAATAACATTAATTAAATATTTAAAGGTTTTTGAAGACAAAAAATAAGTTAGTACAATCTTATTTTGGTAATAAAAATATTGCAAGAAGGCGTGAATGACTAACTTTGTATATGTTATGACAATACCACATTTGCAATTACCTCTTGAAGTTAACTCTTTAGGTTAATTAAAGTGTGAAACTGGAAATAAAGGTCAGGATACTGATGAGAAACGAAATCAGAGTAAAAAGTAGGCAAAATTTTATCGCTTATGTGACGTTTGGTTACCGTGAATCATTCACAATGAGGAATTTTTAAAACATCCTAGAGTCTCACTAGTTGAACTATGCAATTTAACTAACTATTTAAAGGTCTCGATCAAACTTCCGATTTATAATGCTAATAAGCTCTTCATCCCTATAAGGCATGTAGTGTAAAAAAAAAAAAAAACATTAATCGTATATACATGATTAGCTAACCTAATTTATTCTTTGGAACAATAGATGATTTTAGAGGATCTGAAATATGGTCGATTAGCTACAGTAAAATGTAGTTTATCCAAATACGTGGTTTGAAAGCAAACCGAAAAAAAAGTCACGATATAGAATACTTTTAAATACTGAACAAAACCAAAACATTTTTAATTACGAAAATTCTACTTTGTAAAAATTAAAATTACAGGTTTTCGTAGTAAATACAAATCTACACCTTTTACAACACATGTAGCATGCTGGATGTATACCTCTAATTTATCGCTGTAATCAGAGGCTCCACAACCTTTGGATGTATCCCCCCTGGTCTAGTGCTCTAATTATACAATTCATAACTTTTAAATAAATCCTCACATTTAGCCCTCTCATTACAGAATCCACAACATTTGGATGTGTCCCCCCTCATTTAGTGCTCTCATTTAACGATCAGCAACCACTGGATGTTTACCCTTCTATTCTGTACTAATCTCAATATTGTTCCTCCTCTGGTAAACTGATATAAGGTCAACTGAAGGACCATATGACCTAGCTATTGTAGATTTTTCAGTGAACTGATTTGAAGGCCAACACAAGCCTGAAACTAACCTGAAGGCCCACATGACCTAGCTATTGTAGATTTTTCAGTGAACTGATTTGAAGATCAAAATTCAACCTGGATACTTTTTTTTTTCCAATGAATTAATCTAATATTTTTTCCACGTGAGTGCGTTATCCGCTTGAACATTCTTTCCAATACTTAGTTTGTTATAAAATATTAGTTTAGTGTTATACAGATGTGAATGTTACTCAGAAAATCCTTTTGTGTCCAATTTCAACATGTTTTTCACGAACATAATACCTCCAAAAACGCCAGCAGCCAAATAAGAAAGTGTTGTATAATGAATGATACAAGATATTTTGTACATTGAGATTAAACCACAGTGGCTTTATTAATTTCTATAACTGCTTGAATTCCTTCTCTTTTTTTTGGATTAGACCAGTTTTGATGATTGCAAGCTCCTGGGTTATGCTGAAAGACATCAAATGAGACAACTAAAACCAATGATTATAATAACTGCTAACAGACTCTTGGACTTGCCCATTTATCGATAAAGGTCCTATAAGATATTAAAAGGATTTAGTAAACATAGCAGCATTACTTCTCCCAATCATTTCTCAGTAGTCGTAATATGATACTACAATCTGTTAAATATGATGATGATGCTCACAATTTCTGAAGAAAAATTAAAAAGATTTTACTTAAACAGTTTTTTGCTCCAACTTAATCTCAAGCTACCGATGACAGGTGGTAATTCTTGTAACTTAAAGGAACAGACTAAAAAGTAAATCTAGAAATTAGTAAAGATCTTGTTAAAATTACTAAAGAATCAAGACATAGCACAGTGGTGACCATTTTCTAAATCCTTCAAGTAGAAGAGCATCTAGCTATAAGAAAACCCTATCTTAACATACACTCTATTTCAGTAGAACAAAATTATAAAAAAAATATTGGCAACAATATTCTGCTCTATTTCCATAACTTAAGAATGATGATTTTAGCCACAATATTCTGTTCTATTTGTATACCTTAAGAATGATGTTTTTAGCTGCAATATTCTGTTCTATTTCCATACCTTAGGAATGTTTTATTAGCTGCAATATTCTGTTCTATTTGTATACCTTAAGAATATTGTTTTATTAGATGCAATACTCTGTTCTTTTTGTATACCTTAAAAATGATGTTTTTTAGCTGCAATATTCTGCTCTATTTCCATACCTTAAGAACATTGTTTTATTAGCTGCAATATTTTGCTTACCTTTCATAACTTAAGAGTGATGTTTTATCAGACCCAAAAGAGTAACAAAACACATCAACTTCTACCCTGATAACATTGTAAAGATTTTTTCAATTAAATTACACTCTTGATATATAATGTTTGGGTAAAAGAAACCACAAGTGAAGTTTAAATTTGTACTTAGACTTGAGTTAGTAAATATATTTGTCGCAATGAAGTAGAACAGTCTGTGGACTTGGGATTTATTAAATAACATTTTTACGAATTGCTAATATAAATACACAAACATATAAATAAATGTGTGTTTGTGTGTTACGGAAACACAAACTTGCCATGACATAACCAGTTTCAAGACACCAAACATTCCATATAAAACTAACTTAAATTCTGATACATAAAAAATATTCACACAGATACGTGCATTCTATGCTGCCTTCATTCACTTACTTTTTTCAAGTTAACTAGGAATTAAAATTAAGTAGAATAACAGGTCTTATTGTAACAAAAGTGATTATGAAAAAAAAAAATGAATTTACATTGAAACATGATCTATTGAAACTCTGTTTTTGTGAAGGTTTAGTACCAAATTGTTGCTTTTTCAGTAGATTACAAATCTCATCAACAGAAACTTTCTAGTTTTCTGGGACATTAATAATAATGTTTTTACACTTCTTGAAAATAACACTGTAATTACAGTAATATCTGTTCTTCCACACAATGAGTGGAAGCTTGACAACCACATATATACAATATAAACCTTTGTGCAGCTTCCAAATTTATCTGTACAACAGAACAAAATTACACATACAAACATAAGAAACAGTCTTGTTAATGAACTTTCTGTAGAAACTTCAACAACTAGAACATAAAACATGAAAGGAACATTCCCTGCATAAGACTAGACACAGGGCATTACAGGGCAGTGAAAATTCCAGCTTTGAGTTGAATCATCTGGATGTATGAAGTGTATCATACGTAAACCTTCTTACACAAATATTCAACAGACCAAAAAAAATAATTATTCCCAGCCATTGATATATAGAGAGAAAATATAGTGTTTAATGATAAGTTACAAAGATATATTATTTTCAATATAAGGATTTAGGTATTTTTAGGTTTTAGAACTGTCTGCAGAATGGAAGTTAAAACATGATAAAACAATATACTACCTTTCAACCATTTTCCAAACATCACCACATAAACTGATCACAAAAAGAATACTAATAACATCATTTACTATGGCACCTTTGCTGTTACACTGTCATTTTCGAACAGCTGGATTCATATATAGATATCTACAGATAATTCATGGCCTACTGGTGGCCAGATGAAACTAAGCACTGCTTTGCACTATTGTAAGGTCACTCAGTGGAGTCCATAACTAACTGTAAAGTTGGATAAAGAATTTGTCCACAAGACATGCTACCTCCAGTACTAAATTACTCAAGCTGCTCACAAGTGTTTCACTAATGAAGTTTGAGGAACCATGAAACCATGGACTTGGGAAAAAGTTAACACAAGAACATGACACCTCTAGGTGACATTTCCTTCATGTTTGGTTGATGGTGTCGCTGGTTCCAGTTAGATGCGAGATGGATGGGCAGAAAGTTAACAGAAATGCAAGCAACACAGCAAAAATAATTGAATATAGGGCTATCTACAGAAAAATAGAAATTATACCACAATTAACATCATAAGCAGAAAAACCTGAATGAAATGAAAACGAGATTTATATTTTACATTACTTGTCATATAAATATATGAATTTTTCATATACACTTCAAATTGTTAACTGGTGTTTTCTGTTAACAACAACTAATATGCCATGATGTATCTACTGAAATCATTAGGTTATTAGCAAATTTCAAGTTCACATTTTTGAGAATAACTTTATCCACTCCAAGCATAAGGTCATTATGAAGTGATTTTAAAGTTGTGCTATTTCTGTAAATACCTATACCCACCATGAATATACGGCCATCTAGTGGTGATCTGATAGTAGTGAAAATGTTCTCAATATATATACAATCTAAAAAATCACTAGGAGATGATTTTGTAGAGGTTATACTTTATCAATAGCCATATCAACATCAAGCTAAAGATGTTTATGAAATTATGCTAATAGTGGTGTTTTTTCAAAACCATATCCATCTCAAATGAAAGGTCATTAGCAATTAATTTTAAAATTATATTTTGTCAATAACTATATATACCCCAAGTATAAGGTCATTCGCAAATTATTTTACAGTTCTGATACTTTATCAGTAACTATATCAATGCAAAGCAAAAGGTCATTATGAGATTACTTCATACAGATATTTATGTCAATAAACATGTCAATCCCAAACACAAAGTCATTGGGAGATGATTCTAAATTTGTAATTTTCAGCTTTTCCTGAATCTAGTTTATTCTGTACTTTTTATGCACCTTAAAGCTTCAGTTGTATAACACACTAGACACTTGCAGAAATACCACAAATAATAATGTTCAACCTAAAAAACACAGTTCATTGAGCAGTATCATGGCACAATAAGTGAAGAAAGGTAATGGTTTAAAAATAATTTACATATGTACTAATAAATTGAAGGGAAAAATATCAACTTACGGTTTTTGAATGAGATGACATACACTGCAGGTCATCTTTGACAATTTTAAGGTCTCTCTGCAGTTGAGATTTTTCTTTATTACATTCAGCATAACAGTTGTTGAGTAACAATATCTCCTCCTGGGCTTCATTCAGCTTGAAAATATTTTACATGCTATTCATAACACTATTACTGAATCCTTAAATAAAAATAAACTGAAACCTATAAAATTCTCTAAACTTCAGGTACTGTTAATACAATGTCTATGTATATAATTACACGTACATCAATTTTTTTTCTCATTTTATTATAACAAAACACTTTCTACTGAACACTTTCTGAATTAAATTATGATTCTGAAAGTTTCATATAATTTTTT